AAAGGTTGTTCCAAAAGAAGCCCCCAATCATGAATGAGCCTTTACAATGCTGAAGGGGAAAGATGTGGATAAAATGTTTACATAAAACACTTGGGACGGGAAGAATAGACAGCATGGGCCTCTGGGGTAGGGTGGGGTAGGGGGTTGAGGGGTGAATTGAAGCATGTTCCCTGAGTAAGTCAGAGCTATAAACCTTTCCGGGGTGCTCAGTGCTCTGCAGAATTCATGGCCTTTTGCTCTGCTGTTTGAGGCAGTTAAGGCTCCTCCTAGGAAGTGAACTTTTGCTTATCCCACATTCTGTGTGGTTCAACATCTTGTCACTTCAGCTATAGAATCATGGCTGGATAATCATCAAATATTTCTCCAAATAACTCCCTGGGCTTGAGCTAAACTAAACTATGCAATGTCCTGGCAGCAAAGCCACACAGGCCTTCATAATTAATAAACCTTTATTTTTGGCTCAATTGTATAATAGCAGAGGCAGGGCTATTGGTATGAGCTCAGCTAGAGCAATGTATATACCTGAAACACCAAGCTCTCCTGCGTACAGTGGTGTCCATCTGCCTACTCAAAAGATTAGTCCCTCTAAAAATCTCCATCAAACCAGGGTGTTTCATTCTTTACACTGATCTTGTCCTTATTCCTAGCAGTTAGGATTATTTTAGTTTATTTCAGCTCAGTTCAAAGCTCACAAGCCGCTAGTGAAGACAGGTTGTCTCTTGTGGCAGAGGGAAGAGGAAAAACAATCCCCATTCTTCCCTTTGGATGTGAGGGAATAGGGTTGTGGAAGGTCACCCTATTCCCTCCTTTGATGGTGGAATCAGGTGTGAGAGGACACCCTAAGCGTCTGAGAGAGACAAAAGTGCAGCTAGGAAGAGAGGGCTGCATCCATGGGCGGGACGGGAGCACACATGAAAGAGGCAGATGTCTCATGGAAAGACAGGAGCACTGATAGAAAATGAGCCACCAGCAGCTACTCCCCATCACAATTCTGGTTTCTTTGGAGAGGGGCGGAAAGGTAGAAACCATCAGCTTTTTCACAACTGCCTCCAAAGCAGGGCTCAGGGGCAGCAGCCTCCACCTGTGTCTTCTGTGAGCCTGTTACATTGCCCTCATGCCCTGATGCCTGTTGATATGGCTCCACCCTATGACAGTCAGAAGTATATATCACAGACCTGTATTTATTACACAGCATCACTTGTCCATGGATGAAGGAATCCTAGCCTCACCCTGACAAACTTTCCCAGTGTAAAATTGTAAGAGGGGAAAGGATGGTACTGAGTCTAATGCATTGGACTGGGAGTCAAGAGAGTCATGTTGTGACATGACTGGACTCTGGAGGAAGTAGAGTGAGGAGGGGCAAGAGGAGCCTGGGAAAGAGAAAGCATTGTACAAAACACAATTTACTCCTGCTGCCCTCTCAATAAATGAAACCAGCTGAACAAAGCTGCTGACTCAGCAGCACAATCACAGGTGGGAGGATATGAATAAGGCGTGACCTCAGAATTCCTACTTAATGCCATTATAGACTGGGCTATCCAAAGACTGACTGGCCTAGTAGTCAGAGGGAGAAAGGAGGTTGCAGTATTCCTAACCCTCTCTAGAGACTGGCTGTGGAATGGCATTAAAACATCAGTGAGGGCAGCAGCTGTTACACCTTGCTCTGTTACAGTGAAGGGATCAATGAAAGTCTTCTCACAGGTGCTGCCTAGGTCCTGACTTCAGAGGCTGGGCAAGTTTAAAATCAGAGAAGGCTGTCTGGGGTTAAGTCTGGGAGGGGTGAAGGCAAAGCCCACAGTCACATAGCTGGGACAGGGCAGTTAAACAGAGATAGTGATAACAATGTGTGGATGTAGTTCATGTTATTATTGCTGTTTTCTATTACAGTAGCACCTAGAGACCACAACCAATACCAAGACCCCATTGTACTAGGCACTGTACAAACACCCAATAAGAAAGAGTCTCTTCAATGGAGCGCTTACAATCTAACTAGACAAGACAGACAATGGGTGGGAGAGGAAACAGAGACCTGGAGGGACTTGCCAAGGTTACCCTGTAGGTTTCCTGGCTCCCAGTCAGGTGCCCTATCCTCTGAACTACCCTGCATCCCCTATTCCCAAGGAGATCTCTGTCCTTTGTGTGAAGTTATCCATATTTCTTCCAACACCATCATTGTTGCAATGTCCTTACCATAAAAAACACTGTAGGGCAAAATGCCCTGTGGGACTCCCTAATCCATGCCCCGGGTATGTGAGTATCATGAACACAGCTCTGTCTGGAATCTCCGGGGCACAGAAGACTGAGCAATAGGGATTTATTCTGCATGCTGTGAGCACCTGTCATGTAGCCAGCTAGTGCCATTTCTTTGTGATGCCCTATATCTCTCTCCTTCATGCTAGCCTTATAGGGAATCAGACAGGCTGCAATGCAGGGGGTGGTCCAGAGGAGCAGCTCCAGTGCAAATGATTGTATAACCGGAGAGATGTTACTAGAGCTGGAAGCAATGACATGCTCAGCTCAGTGTAACTCACTTCAGGATACAGCTAGATGAAAGCCCCAGAAATAGGAACACTTGGACCAGTTCCCACAAGCCAGGTTAATGCCTGCGAGTGAGAATGGATCTGTGTTTGGAAAGGCAGGCTCAGAGCATGCACTGTCTGCATCTCTATTAACAGCAGGGTTTCACATTGCAGAGCTCTATCTATTGTTCATTTCTCTTGCTCATGAAATCCCTAGCGGGATGTTAACAAGGCTTGGGGCACAGGCAAGTGATGTTCCCTGAAAGTTGGTTTCTTCATTCTTCAGTGGCAATTCCAAGTTCACTGTCAGTGCCCCAGAGACAGAACACCAGGGCTGCCTCTTGGGAGGGCTCATTTCCCGACACTTCTCAGGGCTGAGGGCATCTCTCCTTCTGGGATTAATGGGCCACTGCAGTGGCCTCTGCTCGGAAGACCAAACCATGGGGCTCAGGTGCCTCAGCACTGCTCTGGCTCCCCAGATGTTCAGCGGGGTCAGGGATGGGAACAAACCCCTGCCTGACAGAGGCCATTCACCTCCCCGTCGGAAAACTGGGACTGAGGTTGTCCCGAGGCACCAAGCCCGGTGGCTGCTGTCACCACAGACGCAGGCCAGCTTTGTGCCCCACAACGCAGAAGCCCTTACATTGCTGCCAGGAGGCAAAGTACTGGGCCTTGGCTACCCCTCATGGTGAGCATAGTTTCCTTCCAAGCAGTTGACCGGGGCTTGATTCCCGGCCAATGGAGGCATGTGTTTTGGGGGGAGGGATAGCTCAGTGGTTTGGGCATTGGCCTGCTAAACCCAGGGCTCTGAGTTCATTCCTTGAGGGGGCCATTTAGGGATCTGGGGCAAAAATTGGGGATTGGTCCTGCTTTGAGCAGGGGGTTGGACTAGATGACCCCTGAGGTCCCTTCCAGCCCTGGTAATTCTAAGGCGAAGAGCCGCACATCGCCAGACAGCTCTGCTCGCTGGGGTACTAGCCCGGTCGCGCTGGTATCTTCTCCCTGGCGGAGTCCCAGGGTTGGTTACATGGGAATAGACAATGGGATGAGTCCCTCCTGAGTGTGCCAGTAATAAACGGAGCCACACCTGGCTCGTGCTGCCGCTCGCCGTCTCTGACGGTGGCTGTCGTGCCAAGCCACCCAGCGAGGCCCAGTGGGATTGACCTGGGGGTGCAGACGGACCCGGTTAGCGCGAAGCCTCTGTCTGTGCAGAACAGCTGCTTCCCGGACAGGAATTACCCGGGGCGCTTTGCCAGGCTCGGAAAGAGCCCGGGTCTGGGCTGGGGCTTCTCCGCGGTCTCCCCGGGGTTAGTAGAAGGGCAGCATCGAGGGAGGTCCCGGCAGAAAGGAGGAGACGGCTAAAGAGACGTAACCCATCTCCACTAGGAACCTCGCTGCAGAGAGAGCCCGGATCCCTGCGCAGCTCTGACCCCCGCGCTGCTGTCTCTGGATTAAGCAGATGCCCCGCTCTCCGTAACTGGCTCCAGCCTTAGAAACGTAACGAAGCTCGGATCTTCCAGCTCAGCTCCCATCCTGCTTTGTCAGCTCCTGTAAATTCCTTTCCGAGCATGGCTCCCAGGATTTCCCTTCCTCTCTAAACAGCTGTTTCCTGGGAAAACACACGGAACCGGGCTCGGCCAGAGCCGATCAATGTCACTGCGCTTCCAAACTTGTGCACAAACAAATCGTTAGCACCCTGGCAGCCAGCGCAGGCGGGGGGATGCTACAGACAGGAAGGCTGCAGCCAGGGAAGGCGCTGTGGGGCCCTCCGTCTCCCTCTGGGTCTGGCTGAGCTGTGGCAGGAGCTGTCCTTCAGCACCGCGGCACCTGCTAGCCCCTGGGTGGACCGCGGCGCCCGCCCCCAGCGCCCCGCGTCTTCCCCCAGGAGCTCAGCCCCGCAGCCCGCCTGGGGCAGAGCGAGCCCCGCGCAGAAGCAATGTCCGCTTGGTCCGGGACCTGCTTCCTGAATCCAGGCAACTTATTCTTCCAGCTCAGTGAGGAGATGCAAGGCTGGGGGGGGGGGGGGGGGGCAGGAGGCGGCCAGGAGGAGAGGAGACGCTCGCAGCCCCTTGGATCCGAGAGCCTGGGGAGGATCTGCCGCGGTGGCACAGGCACAGAGACATTAGCCCCCCAGGATGAACTCCGGGGGCGGCCAGACACCGTGCGGCGGCGGGGGAGCGCGGAGCACACGCCACCTGCAGCAGGGACCAGCCCCCGGGCCAAGGTGCCGCGCGTGCCCCGTGCCCCAGCGCGCTGTGTGCGCGGGCTGCCGGGGGGGGCGGGGGGGCGGCGCCTGAATGAAGGCTGGGAAGAGCGGCTCGGATGAATGAACGGCTCCCTGGAGTGAATGGAGAGGCTGGCTTTGGGGGGAGGGGAGGCACAAAACAAATGGCAGGGGAGATGAAGCGGGGACGAGGAGCGCGCACGCGCCTTCCCTCCGCTTCCCCCCCCCCCCGCCCCCCCCCCCCCGGATCAATTTCTCAAGGTGTTCTCTGTACAGCTGAAGATGGCGACAGATTGAGGGGGGATGGAAAACAGGAGACACCGATCCAGGATGATCAGGAACGGGAAAAACGTTGCCCACCAAAAAAGAAAGAGGAAAGCGGAGTGACTGTGCGTGCAGCGGGGAGCAGAGGCGGGCAGGAGAGCGGAGAGGAGGCGAGGCGCCCCGGCGGGGTGAGGATGAGGAGGGCCAGGCGCTGACTGTGGGGAGGCGGAGTATGCTTCTGCCTGGCTCCGCTCGGGGCTGAGCGGCTCGCTGTAGGGACCGGCGTCGGCGAACAGCAGCCTGGACGTGTTGAGGACCGTGGCGCTGATTTTTCCTCCCGCAGCAACATGCAATGGCTGGGGGTAGCATTTAGCCGCCCAGGAGGAGGTGGTGGAGGAGGGGAAGGCACTTCCTTGTTTCTAGCCATGAGAATGATGCCCATCATCACACCATGCTTCAGAGGAGGTAGGTGACATTGTTGGGGGGAGTCTATAAGAGGAGAGGAGCAAAGAGAACCACACCGGAGACCGCAGTAGCCCCCCCACTCAGCCCCTAAAATATGATCAGGGGGGCTTGGATGTATCCAAGAGAAGATGACGCTGTGTTAAAAATTTGTTGTGCACCAAGACAAAACGACAAACCCTGCGCTGATTCCGAGAGGGCACAGAAATGGCGAATGTCTCTGGCATCCCTTCTATTTTTCACTGTCCTCCTCTCTGATCATCTGTGGCTCTGTGCTGGAGCCAAGCTCAGATCCAAGGATAGGAGCTTAGCCATGCAGACGCCTTGGGGGGACGCAAGCCAGCGCGCCTTCCAGCCACATTTCCTACTGACAGGGGATCAACAGTCACAGGAGGGGAGGTGTGAGATTTTTTTAAGCAATTTGACCAAATTTGCTGCTCCGATCCCATATTGCACTGGTGCCCGGGGTCATTTCGATCTGGACTCAGCTTGCACCAAATTGTATTCCTTGCAGCGACTCTTGGGCTCTTTCCCTTCTGTACCCTTAAGGCCACCCCCCTCCTCCTCCTCCTCCTCTTCTTCATCAGCCTCTTTTTTTTCCTCTTCCTCCTCCAAAATAAACTTCTTAAAGGCTTATTTTAGGAACTTCAACCTCTCTTTTTGTGATACTTACACGATCTGGGACCTGCTGCTGGGCATGGCCGGCCCAGACAGCTTGGATTGCAGTTTGGACAACCTGATGGTGGATTTCGTGGCTGCTGCAGCCGGTGCTCTGGACGGAAAGGCGTGTAGCAGCTGCGTCCAGGCTTATCAGAGGCTGGACCAACACGCTCAGGAAAAATATGAGGAGTTTGACCTCTTGCTGGAGAAATACTTGCAATCAGAAGAGTATTCAGTTAGATCCTGCATAAGAGACTGCAAGGTAGGAGGGGGAAGCACAGGGGGGCCTCCGAGCCCCTGCCAAACCACACTAGAAGAAAAGTAGCTTAAGGCAAATCACACCATTTTCCTGGGTCCCAGTCTCCCCTCCCCCATCTCCCTTGTTGCTCCTTTGTTCTGTCTGTTGGCTGGTTGGACTTTTTTGCTTTCACAAGAATTGGTTAATGCTGATATGGCCTCTTTGGATGTGCTGGAGCCGTGCAGCCCTGCAGTGTGATAATATACAGGCAAAAGTCACAGCAGCAGGAGGAAGAGGAGGAGGAGGAGGAGGAAAAGGGAATGAAACCGTTCAGTCTGGTAAAAAAAAAAAAAAAAAGCCCGCTGAGGTTATGACTCGAGCGTTGGTGGGTCCCCCATGCTCTCTTTTCTCTCACCCAGCACAACCTGGCAGAAGGCATTTCCTTGGGTCCTCAGATTCCTTTCTTCCTGGTCTGAAAGCCAGTGGCATTCCCCTGGGCTACCTGGGCTTTCCAAACCTAATCCCACAAAGGAGGCTGGAAGGGGCAGATAGCCTGGGGGGTGCCACCACAAAGAAGATTCCTCTGCTCAAGGGAATCCGGGTGCTGCACAAGTTCAGTCCCAGAGCAATGCCCGTTTTGGATGGGAAATCAGTGGCGCAAAGCCTATGGAAATGCGTTCCCCCCATGCACGCAGCCCAGACTTTGGGCGAGTGACTAGAACTCGCGCACGGAACAGGTGTGGGAGCCCATTGGCTGTTGCTTCCTCCGGCCTGGTGTAAATCAGTGTCGCTCCTGCGCAGTGTGCGGGGGAGGGGTGCACTCTCGGCGGATAATTAGGCAAAGATGTTTGAAATGAAGTGGCGACCTGATGTGACCCAAGAGAACAATGGCTCTTCCTTCCCCCAGCTCTCTCGGATTGTCCTTTGCCAGGGAGGCAGATCTCCAGAGAGCTAGCCAGAGAAAGGGAAGAATCAGACGTTTGCCAACCCTGGTCCCTGCATACTTGTGTCCCGAGGAAAGTGGCTGGTAGATCAGGGAGTTAGGAGTTAGCAGAGGCGAGGCCCTTGAACCTCTCTGAACTGTTTACTCTTAACCATCTATTTCTGCAAATCACTTTCCCCATTTCCCCAAAAGTTGGAGGGAAAGGAATGATTCCCTTCCCCTTGCTAGAAGAGGCCCCTGGAGCTGCTCGTGCTAAGCCCTCCATCCTCCTGCAGCGCAGTGCAGAGTCAGTGTTATTAGCAGCGTGCATTTTCTATCTGAATTTACATCCACCTCACAATCCCTACCCACCCCAGACAAGTCACTCAAAGGCAGCTCTAGTTGCCTCAGATTACATTCCTAGCAGACCCCTGGGTCGCTGTTACCCATCAGCACACACCTACCCCTCTGGGTTGGGCTGGGGGCATCTTAGTTCTGTCAGTTCTCCTCACTGACTCATGGTGAGCTAGCTCTATCAGGTGGTGATGGTGGGAGAAGAAAGACAGCAGTGGGGCTACTACTGAGGCCCATACTGGGTGATGATCCGGGCAGGGTAAGAAAAGTGAATGTACTTCCCCCTGGACTCTGAGGCTGGATGCAGGGCTGGAGTGGGGTGCCAGGGCAGTAAATAGACAGGCACTGGGGGAATTCTACTTGACTTGTGCAGACAAAAGACTGAGAGCTCTAGGGGCTGGGCCTACCAGTGTGTGTGTGTGTGGACAGTGCCTTGCGCAGTGTGAGTGCTGCTATAATACAGAGAAATAACCATAACCAAATACATTTTTGTACCTGGGCACATTAATCCATGTAGGCCCTTTTCCTGCCCTTGGCAGTGACACGTATGCCCAGTATTTCAAAGGAAGGCAAAAATACCCACAATGCACTTAGCTAAATGTGCCATGCTGTAGCTCTTGTGGCGAAGAATTTATTCCCAAGGTGGCAGGTGATCACTTCATGTTCAAGAAGCATAAGAGTTGCCTTCCCCAGCAGCAGTTGGAACAAACCTCCCAGCCCACTGTAGTCAACTACGTTTTTTAATGTATTCCAATGTCCATCCAGATTCCTTGTAAATTACATTAAACTCTTCAATCATTTCTCATGGAAATGACATAAAGGCTTAATCCCCATGACATGGCTCTTTGAACTTCAGCATGTTCAACAGCCCTTGAGTGACTCTGATGAGATTTCCTGACTTCATCTGTGCAATCTCCCTTTGGCTGCTATGTCCAGGAAATGTAACTGTCTTGTTAATTATCCCTGAAACCTTTTCTCAGAACAATTTCTTGTGGGTCAGATAGTGTCTGTGTGTTATAGCAGAGGCTTTGCTTCTAGATCACCTCACAAAGCGATTGTGTCAGCACTCACAAACTGACCAGGGTAAGTTCTTGGTCAACGCTTTTATGGGAGACCTCGAAGAAAAACTCAGAGCTGCAGTAAAGGTTCTCGCGATGCATTAAGTGGTGCTCATCCCCCCAAGGAAGCACTGAACTGACACCTTAGTATGGTGCTGGAGGTACCATCTGTCAGATGATGTAAAATTGAGATTCTGATCACTTCTGGACAGTTTTTGTAATGAACCTTTTTGGGAAGATGTTAGTTTTGGTGTCCTGGGAAAATTCCAATTTGGGGAATTACATTCTGCCTACCTAAATTCCTCCTGCAGTTTCAAAGGTATATGGTGTTCTGCTTACACTGAATTGTTTTGTATTGCTGCTCTTCTCTGTTAAATTGTTGTCATATTCCACTGGAAAATGACTGCATTATTGCCATTTATTATTTGTATTGCAGTAGCTTCCAAGTCCCTAGTCAGGAACAGGAGCTCTGCAAACCTGTAGAAAGATGATCTCTGCCCCCAGAAAGCCCAGAATCTAAGACACGGTCATGGAAGAAGTGTAAAAAAAACAAAAGGAGGGAATAGGGGAGGAAGGAGAAGGGTAATAGTGATAGGGATACGTGGCTGCATAGACTAGCTACAGTCTCAACTTGACTTTAAAACAAACACATAAAACAGATATCAGCAATCCCCACTGGCCATCCACCTGGGCATTTTCAGATGGCAGTTTTCCATAGGTGTCACAGACAAAATGGATCTTAAGGAGGGAAAAGGTAGTGGCTTTATGGATCAGTGTGGGGATTGTGTTTTATATGTAAGGAGCAGAGTGGAAGAAAGCACAAAGACATTTGTGGGGGAAGAGGACAAACGGGCAGGCATTGTTGGTGAGGTGACTCAATAAGCCACAGGTAGGGAATGGCAGAGATATGTATATTTCCTGTGTGCATAATTTTAAAAACATGTTGGCATCCTTTAGGATAAAAGGCCTATAGGAAAGTCAGACACTATCTGTGTGTAACTATCTTAGAGGAATTCAGAGGTGTGAGTAACCAAAACACAGGAGACGTATATTAGGGGAGCAATATAAAGAGGGAACTTTGTATATAAGAATATAAGAAAGGCCATACTGGGTCAGACCAAAGGTCCATCTAGCCCAGTATCCTGTCTTCTGACAGTGACCAATGCCACGTGCTTCAGAGGGAATGAACAGAACAGGTAACCATCAAGTGATCCATCCCCTGTCACCAATTCCCAGCTTCTGGCAATTACAGAGGCACTAGAGACACCATACCGGCACATCCTGGCTAATAGCCATCGATGGACCTATCCTCCATGAATTTATCTAGTTCTTTTTTGAACCCTGTTATAGTCTTGGCCTTCACAACATCCTCTGGCAAAGAGTTCCACAGGTTGACTATGTGCTGTGTGAAGAAATACTTCCTTTTGTTTGTTTTAAACCTGCTGCCTATTAATTTCATTTGGTGACCCCTAGTTCTTGTGTTATGAGAAGGAGCAAATAACACTTCCTTATTTACTTTCTCCACACTTGTCATAATTTTATAGACCTGTATCATATCCCCCTCTTAATCGTCTCTTTTCCAAACTGAAAAGCCCCTGTCTTATTAATCCCCAGTGGCCATCTACCTGGGCATTTTCAGTATATGGTTTAGGCATCAGTTCAGCAATGCACTTAAGCACTTGTTTAACGTCCACCTCTGTTGAGTTTAACATGTGCTTTGTGGAATAAGAGCTTTAATAGATAAACAGATTAAAATACTAAATAAATTAGTGGGTTGGGGGCTTAGATGAAAAACTGACAGCACTAAAGTCCAAACACTTAGAAATAGGTCCGTACGAAAACGGGTACTCAGATACCATGGTGATTGGCTTGGCCTGGGAACTTGGAAAGAATAATATGTAGGGGCCAAGGTAGTGATAATAAGAAATATATCAGGTAATTTGCTAGATTGTCAAATATTTACTATGATTATTTATATCACCAGATAACATCAGTTTTACAAGTTTGACAAGATATATTTGAAAAGTAGCATTAGAGTTGGCCATTTGCAAAAAGAAGGTGCTACCTAACTCATCAGTTGTTGTGGTGATTAGGGAGTTATGACCTCATTTGCAAAGGTTCTGAGCACGTGCAGATCTCATTGCCTTCAGCCGAGGTTGTGGTTATTCGACAGGTCTGAAAATTCAAGCTATTTCTGTGCATAAAGCGAGTTAATTTTGGAAAGGGCTGTTCAAATGCTGCAATGAATACCACACTGTATTTGAAAATATAACTCTGGGCTACGTGCTGCTCAGAGACTATTCGCATTCAGGCAACATTGCAGAGTGCTTTTCAGTGAAAGTTTTGTCTTGTTTTATGTTTGGTTTTTTTAATGATAAAAAGAGTGAAAATAGGAGAATTAAAGGAAAATGAAGCAAAATCCGATTGGAAAATCTGTGGCTTCAGCAAAAATCCTGCATAAAATGACCCTGGCCATAAAGATTTTGGAGGTTCAAGTACCACATACCTCATTTGGTGGGTTCTTCAGTTGTACAAGTTTTCCTGAACTGAGGAAATATGCAACAAGAAGGAACATTAATCCTTTCTGAAAATGGCTTTTGTCACCAGAGGAAAATGCTTCCTGCAAATGATTGTGACTTCCCTTGTTTTCCTCCAGATCAGCAGGGGATGAGAGCAGGATTCTGCAGACA